GGCTCTGAAATGAAAATGTCTCTGTCCTACTGTGTTTCTGTCATCCATTAACATGCTGTTGAAGTAAACAGAACATTATGATGTATTGGTGCATTCAACAGCACAGCAGGTGCATCCTGCTTGGAGTATTCAGTAGCCATCAAACACTTGAGTGCTACCTAAATTACCTCCTTTCTTCTTTCCACAGAAAATAAGCTTAGAATGACCCGGCTCACAAAGCGTCTCTGAGTAGGTTAAGACGGTCTTCCCATTTATGATCAGGTCAAACTTGACATACAGTTCCTTGATGCTGTGTCCTACATGCAAAGCAGAAAGAGAGCTCAGAAAGTGCAAGGGTCAACAGGTTTATTACTTTATTTTTAAAAACATTCCATCTTTTTCACCTGCTGTTTTAAGCCATTGAATGTTTTATCTTCACTGAGAACTCCTGATACATTGAAATCTATGCTTCAGGAACAGGTCTCTAAGTCCGTTAAGGTACACAGCAGGGGATGTAACAGCATATATCTTTATTCATTTTTGTTAAATAAACTATACTCATGACCATTCTCTGACTCTGAGGCCAACTGGCATAGTAAATCTTGTGTCCACACATCTAAACTTTCTTTCCTACTGTCCCTAGCGGAGGGACCATATCCAATGGGCCCCTGGGAACAGCCTGTGGAGTGTACCTGCTGCCTGGGAAAATAGTAGCCGGCCTGAGCCAAGCCTGTGCCAGGGACCAGCATGGCAGCTTGGCAGTGCTAGGAGGTTGCCTGCTCGAGCCTGGCTTGCTAACACAGATATAGCCACTGGTGCTGCTGGATTTGGATGGAGGTCCCATACTCTAAGTTGTCAGAAAAGTATTTGCAAATGCCTGTAACGTGATTTTTGCAGGCTTGTTTAACTTTGCAACCACATGAAAGCTGATGCTCCCTAGGCAAAAGGGCAGCATGTCTCTTCGGACGAAGACCTTTTCCATGCAAGGGAACATTCCCAAGTACTAAAAAACACTTGGCACACAAACTTATTTTCAGCACCAGAGGCATACAGCAGCACTCTCATATTTATGCTCTGGTAGTAGAGGTTCTAGGTGACCTTGGGGCCAACAGGTTGCAAGAAGGTGGCTCTCCTGTGCAAGGATCACAAAGAAAGCTATGGCTAATGTTAACTTGTGTACCCAGCCCATTAGCTCAAGTGCAGTTCTGCTTTTGATCTTTTATTACTGGTCAGTCAAGTGCTGAAGGATATAATTTCAGCTAGCACAGGTGGTGAGCTGATGGCATGGCTGTGTTGCCTAAGGCTAGCACTTCCCCAGCGCTCCCCCAGCACGCTTCTCTGCGTGCCCAGGAGGGGCAGAGAGGTGCCCCCACCTTGGTCTGCAGGAGCCCCTTCAGCCTCCTACCTGGAAGGGTTAGCCTTGGCAATTTGGTGAGCACTGCTGGTGCCGACACAAGAGCATGGGTGCTGTGGCAGTCTCATGTGACAAGACTCTACGTAGAAGACTTAGCTGTGAAGACAAGCTCTAGAGCAGCCCCCACCTTGGCTATTTGTATGTACAAATGAAGGGTAGGCGAGGAATAGGGGCTGAGGGTTGATATGCTTTCCTTAGCGTGACATATGTAGTCTGAGGCTGAGCTGATAACAGAACTGATGTTTTTGTAGCCCTGCACAGGTTTCAAAACTTCCCAGAAATGAAGCCCATTCATATTTTATAGCAGGTTGTCACCCTTGCCTCCCTCTTAATAGCGGCACTCACACATGAATTGCATGCTTATGGCGTGAGAAAATAGCAATTAACTTACTTAGGACCATTGCAGCTCTGATGTTAAAGGTGTGGGATGTGACATCAGAACAACGGTCAATGCTGAAAGCAAAATCTTGCTGGGGATCTGTTTGGAGACAGAAAACAGTGGGTAACAAGTTGTATTTTTTAATGAGATACTGACTGTATAGAAGAAAACAATAAAATATAGAAACATTATAAAACCCAGATTACATATTCCTTAAAAATTCTCTAAGATGTGCTCAAAGCTCCCATACCCTGTGTTTAATAGCTACTTCTGTCCTTCCTACCACTTTGATCTGAAGCATGTTCAGATGATAGCCTGTACGTGGCTAAAACCTACTGTGTGGGGGAAATGAGCCAAGTTCAGGGAAAGCAAGTTCCCTATAGTGGTGGGTAGTCAGTACTCATTCAATAGCAAAGTCTTAGCACAGCTGCTCTTCCCAGGCTCTGCGCATCACCGTTCCTTCCTCAGCACTGATGAGCAATTGGTTATGATGACGTTTTTTAATTCATTTGTGTCATAAGATGGCTTGGCAAGGCTGATTGGGAAACTGAATCCTGAAGTGGGATGAAAGGTCCAAAACTGAAAATAAAATTGTGTAACTGAGATCCTGCAGTATTTTGTGCTGCGTATACCATCATGTGATATTTCTAACCTGGGAAATATTCTATGTTTCTCCCTTTCTGGGAGCCTTTGGCAGAGCTGGGGTCAGAAGGAGCCATACAGTTGACGACTGATGTGAGTGTGGCTTTTACCAGTTCCTACAGTACCCCTTTCTCTGCATCAAGCTCCAAAACTCTTGCACAAACGTTAATTGCTTTCCTCCTGCTTCCACTTTCTTCCTTGCTAGCCTCCATGAGATTCCATGCTGTGCCTGAAGGCTTGCCAACGTGTCACTCTCTGGTGACAGGCAGCAGGAACAGCTGACAGCTCAGCTGCCACAACCAACAGCATGTGGAAGTGTTTTCCAGAGCTGTGGCTGGAGGTGAAAGATTTGGCCAGTTTGAAAACATATCATCTTGAGTCTCAAGGCTTGCTTTAGGCATTGGTTTGTCCCTCATGGTGGCTTTCCAGCCAGCCTGTGCATCCGACTTCCTTCTCTGTGGAAACAACAGAAATGACTGTGGCATGTGCAGAACCAACTGTAGGCTCCCTGGTTTACATAGAGCTGGTGGTAACAAAATATAGACTTGGGAATTGAATTCTGTTTCTAAGTTATTGTTGCTTGAGGTAACCTTCTCGCTGAATTGAAAATAACAGGTTGGGAGAATTTTCCTTTGATGCTGTGGTGATACTTGAGTCACGAGTGGCCTCTGTGAGGCTGAGCTAGCATCTGTGTAGTCTGACTCTATTTTTGCAGTAGTGCCCCACAGCTGTAGCAGCTGGCAGGGAGCAAACCTGGGTGACCAAAGCCCGATTGCTTAGAGGGGAGCGTGAAATGAAAGTGCTGGGAGGGGCTGGGGACTCTAACTAAGCCAGGCTGTGCAAACACATGGGCTGTCAGTGTGGTCCAAAAGAAACTCCCAAGTCTTACGTTCTGGTAAATGAAAATAACTGTTTAAAGGAGGGAGATAAAAGGCACTGATATTTCCTGCAGCTCTGTGTCCCTGTGCTGGATTTTGTCTTCCACACCACTAAAGTAGTCTCTGCAGTTGCATGATCTGCCTGGGACGAAAAGTTAGTCCCTGGAGTTATCGACTGCAACAAGAGTCAGAGGGTTATCTTTCCTCCCTTTCCATATTCCTGTTAGTTCTTGGTTTGTTACTGCAGCTTCAGAAGCTGTTGCAATCGGGTAGGAGAGCAGCTTCCTCCTCCAACCAGAAACCATGTCAAACTTCTCTTTTTCTCTAGGACCGTTATTCCTGCTTCCCCTCTGGTCTCTACCACCTCTCAGGGCTTGGTTTCCGCTTTCCTCTGGACTTCTGCAAGAACCCCTCTTGTTTCTGGTTTTTTGTGTGGTGTGATGATAAGGTTCAGGAAACAGCTGCTCACGTTCAGAGCAACTTGGGCATTGATGCCTATGAATAGTGCTGGTTGGCAAATGACTAAAATTGTCGACTCTGTAATTTCCAGAGGGAGCTATGGTCAAAAATGGCACTGCAACATATACGATGGTCTGCTCTTTTCAAAGAGCCTAGACTGTGCTTTAGTCAACAAACTAAATCATGGTATTAGGGCTAGAAGTTGAATTTTTAGTTCAAAATTTTTCATCAATAACTTTTTGGATGGAAAGGGGATGCTTATGAAATAAAGCTCCTCTGGAAAGCATGGGCTTCTTACAATGAACCTGATCCCAGGGTTGTTTTACTTTGGAGGTCTCATGCCAGGTTGTTTGGTTTTTTGTTTTTGGTTTTTTCCCCTATGGATTGGGCTCTTTTGCCGGGTGACAAATTTCATGGTGCGTTGTAGCCATGGGTGTCTTCTGCTGCATTGCTAGTGACACAACATAGGACTCTGGTGTATCCAGAAAAGTGTTATCTGGTCCCCAGAGAGGAAGAGTGCATGGAAGCACTCGCATGAGAAATTCCAGCAAAATTTGTGAAATTAGAGTGCTTGGATTTTGTGTTATTACTCTCTTGCCAAGAAATGTAAACTTGTCCACTGGCAAAAGAAACCTCACTGAATTTTCTGAGCGTGTCCCTGTGGAAATTCAGGCTATGACTTTGCAATCCAACATTTTAGATATTGTGATGTGTGTGTGGACAAATCAATTGAAAGGATGGCTGTGTTGCTAAAGCTATGGTGCCAGGGAGTCTGGATTCCAAAGCATGTAGGCAGAAAGGTTGCTGCTAAAAGGAAATGAAAATAGTGGGTTTTAACCATTTGATAAGTAAAGATGTCTGTAAATTCAGCTGTGCACTATGAACTAAGATAGTGTGCCATACCCCTTTTTCTTTAAATGTTGAGGAGTCCCTCGTGTGGCAAAGGCAACTCGAGGCAATTGCCATTTTTGTGTTTCATCTCAGATGCACAACTGTGAGTCACTGTGTGTGTCTTATGCGGGTTTAATACTTATTCTTCCTTGTTTGCCTGAATCTGAAGTGAGCTGGTTAGACTGAAAAAAAAATACATGTTATGTCTTTCACATGTGCAGAGCAATAACATTTACTGTTGAATCTCTAAAATACGTGTGGCTGCCCTTCAGCCTTCCACTTCCCTGCAACATTTCAGTGCACAGTACTGTATGTTCCCAGACTTCCCTCCACCCACTCCCTTCAATCTGCTCCCTCTTCCATAATTAAAGCTAGAAACTCTTCAACTGGTTGCAGAGTTTTGCTTTTCCAGTTCAGCTTTGATATATTACTAGCACTTAAAACGTCGTGGGAAATTTTGCAAACACCTTGAGGCTTATCGGTGAAAATCTACTTGTTGAGGGGAAAAAGGGCAGTTTTTTGTGTCTCTGTATCTAGTGAGAAGGGCTTGGGCTGCAACATATTTACAGCTAGCACGAAGGCGCCCGAGAGCAGGATTTTGACTGAAATTCTCTCTAGACGGTTCTAAATCTTTCAGGCAACTGCTCTGAGAAAAAAGCAAGTCTTTGGCTTTTGTAAACAATCAATGCACTGTAAGATCTCGTAGACCCCTTACTTGAACTTGATGCTTTGGCTAACGCTGAGCTCTCGACTGTATCTAACACTGAATGTACAACTCTTGCTGAAGACTGGCTTCTATAGTACAATCCTGCTTTGAGAGCGCTAAATTTGGGGTGTACCTGGCGTCTTGCTACTGATCACCCCTTACATGGCATAGTGCCAGCTGACCCCATGCATCCCACCTCCAATTTCACCCTTGCCCAAGCACCCCAGTGGAGATTTATTGCGATATTGGTGCATGGTTTTCCATGCATACGATCGCTAGTGGCACCATAGTGCAAGATTTCAGCCCGACTTACTATTGTGAGGTGCTCACAGTGATGAATTTGGCTGGGTTTCTCTAGAAGACTGAGCAGACGTGTAGTACAGTCTAGAAGCAAAAAGGAGTTCCTGAACTTTCCTTCCTAGAGCTTCTTTTCCTGCTCCTTGTTCATGGCAGAAAATCTGTAGGTAAATTAGCTCAGATGTATTTACAGCGGCGTATCTACATGACCCTCCTGGCTGCAAGACTTGTACCTTTGATGGAGATTATTACCCCAGTAACAGGGACAACAGATGGGGAACACGCTTTCAGGTCTCGGTTACTGCAGTTGTGGGGCTACCAGCCCATGCTCCAAAAAAACCAAGGCACAGGGCTGTGAGCTGGGGCTGCCCTTGCACCCCACAGCCTCCTGTGCGCTGGGAGGTGATCTCCAGCAGGAAGGTGAAGCAGACAGCTAGGAATGACGATGTGCTAACCCACTATGGCTATGTCCTTCAGAGCCTGAGCTGCTGGATGACTAACTGGGTGTTACAGAAACTGCATGGCCAGGTGGGAAGTGCCAGTTACAGGAAGTTTGCTGGGCTGGTGTACAGCAGCCTCTGTCTTTTATTCTTCTCTCTCCCTCCCCTCACCTTGTTAACTATCCTCTACTGGTTTTGCTGGCACCCAAATCTACTGTAAAATCACATTGTTTCCATAGGAGCATGAAAATCAGTGGTATGAGTGAATAGGAGCAGAAAGCGGGCAAGCTTTGCTTGTAAGAGTTCACATCTGTAAGTTTTGCAGTGGTAAGAAGATTCTCCAAATTGGTAAGCTTTGGGTGTTTCAAAATAAGACTTTTAGAAGCAGATAAGCCACAGAATTGAATGGAATGACATAGCTGCACTTGGCTAGGGTCATACAAGGACAGACTGGTGCTCGAGGAGTGGGAAATTAGCACAAGGAAGAAACATATTTAGTAATTACCCAACACTCCTCACCTTCAAAGCTCTTAATTTTATTAAATCATTAGTCCTTACAACATTCAAGGTGATGAAAGGAGAGGTAAAGAATGAGGAAGCATTTGGGATCTTAGACTTTACGTATTCATGCAACATTTTCCCTTTAATGTCTATTTAGATAGATTAACCTGAATGCTCAAGGTTATATTTGACACAGGAATCCACTTACAAAGTACTGAGGAAGAAGCATCAGGTGAATTAGCAACTCTGCAGTTGTGTATCTAGGTTTCCCTGGACACCTTCAGT